ATGCATAATTTTATTGCCTTAAAATTTTGAGGAAAAATTCATAGAATTTCTAAAAATTATCGAGTGCTATTTCTCTTACTCTAATAAAGTGGTCCCTTTATTTTCTACTTTTTTTCGAAAGGTACTGCTGTCTAATAAAACAATATAATCAAAAGTTTGTTAAGTGCAAAAAAATACCGAGAAAAAACAATTTAAAAATTTAGCCAAAAATCCAAGGTGGAGGAGACAGTGGCCTCTTAAAGCACAATGAGGGTATTGTTTTTCATGCCTTGTCTGACTTATGGTGGAAGTGTACTAATTTCAAAATGAAATGATTTGTATGTGCATGAAGTTAGATTAATTTCATTATTTCAATATGTGGAGTTTGATCACTATTAAAATAAGTCCTTAATTTTTACTCAATATTTCTCTGAATTTTTCTGTACTCGATCAAAAAGTGTAATGTGATAAAAATATAGAGAAAATTATACATTATTTTTTTTATTAGGAAATTCTATTAAGATTATATTTAACCTATAAATAATGTTATTTAGATAAAGACTGAGAATCATGGCATCGCAAGAAACAGAGTTGTGTGTTGGTGGGGATCAAAAAAACGATCAAAAGAATGTTTTCATAGTGGATCCTGGAAAGCAAAACAATGATCATGATGAAAACAGTATTGAGGGTATGACGTCTGAAAGGTAATTTGTTTAAGTGAATAATCAACTATAATTCTGAATATATCATGTGGTGATTATTCTGATTTAAAAATTTAAAAAAAGTTACTTCTTGTGTAAAAATTTTAATTTCATGATTTTGTTTGAGTATTCTGAATTAAAAATGTTGTGATCGTTAGTAAAAATACTTCAGAGAAAAAAGATTCCTCGAAAGATCCTTCCAAGTACTGAGCTGAAAGATTTTTGGGATTCAAAATTTCATGAATTTTCTTCAGAATTTAAAAAAAAATTTTGAATTGTGCGTACTACTCAAATTTAAAATTATATTTTTCTGTAGAACAAAGGGGGCTAGTATCATTACAATTTTATATATAAACAGGACTACCTCACTTTCTACCCTTTTTGGAAAGGTTTTTTATAGTGGTAGCTAAGATTATGCAAGTTATATCTTTGTTTTGTAAATTTGATTTAAAGTTATTTTCCGCACCACTGCATGTAAATTATTTAAATATTCATATGAAACGTTACTTTTTTCAGTTCTCTCATGGTGAGGCTCTTAAAGTTTTGACAAAATTACCGAAAACTCTGAAAGTGTTAGTTTTTAAATATCTACCACTCTATAAATTATTCTACAGAAAGCGTAGTAGTTGGCAGCCCTGTATAAGCAAAAAAAAGTTTACTCATAATCATTTTGAACATATCCTATAAATTTTTTATTATTACTTGAACGTTTATCTTTATTTTGAATAAATTCCACAAAAAAATAGGGACGAATACTTTTCGAATATTTTTTTAATGTGTTTGTCCACAAATTTTCTGCTCTGATCCATGACATACGAATAGTGAGGACAATAGTCATGAAATTTATAATCTAATTAGTTGTTGCTTATAAAAAAGCAAGTAAAACTAAAATGAAACTTATTTCAACATAAAATATTATCTTGGATAAATAATCTTAACAATAGTTATTCCAATAACTGTTGAATTTTAACAAGTGATAAATTATTATTAACAATGACACCATAATATCGAATATATTAAAAACACTTCGTAAAACAAGCTACTGCAATAGAAACTTATTTTTAGTATTTATATAGTAGAGAAAATATTGTCTTATTAAGTCAAATTTAGTTTTATTCTCTTAAGTAGTTTGAAAAACCAATATTAAATGTCCTCAACGTTTCAAAACAAAAATCTAATTTTTTTTTTCGAGTACTTGACACCGTTTCTTCTTTTTCTTATTTAAAAGGATTAATTTGAATTCAAATAAGACTCGCTTTTTACTTTTTAATTTTTATTTTGAGGGGACATTTTTCATGAAGTACGTTATAAATATTGAATTTACATAGTGAGAAAGGAACTCTCCCTTTATTTATCTCTTCTTGATCATTTAATAGTCACGAATTTGTTTGGGATGAAGGATAAAGGATTATTTTTACAATTTCCTGCAAGGAGCCAGAGAGGTTAAAAAAAACTCTAAAAAAGAGCAGTGATAGAAAAAAAGAACCATTTTGCGTAATCACCTGCAATGATAACAGGGTAGAGTCATTGGAATTTCGAAAGTTAACTTTAAAAACTGTTAAAAAATTTTAAAAAATTCAGCGGTAATTAATATTTTGAATAGAAATCAAATAAGCTTAAAACACGTTAAAGCATTAGTATTTCATAAATTTTGCATTTTGTAAGAACTAATTGAATTTAAAAAACAAAAAAAATATATGGAAAGAAATTATTTGAAAAATCAATTAAAACTTTATAAAATTAAACTAATTTAGGAAACAAATATCTTAATAAGCGATATATTGTTAATACATATTATTATCATAGAAAGTTTAACAATGGCTTGTCCTCTGTAGTTCTACAACTATGTGGCCACATTAGCTCGGTGGAGTTATTTGTTGATGTAAGCTTATCGTTAATTTAACAAAAGGCAAATCAAAATTGTTTTTTTTAAAATATGTAATAGGCATATTCATAAGTAACATAATAATAAAAGTAGTTTTCAAAATGCGTAATAAGTATGCTCATGAATACTATTTTATTATTTGAAACAGAGAATGAAAATTGTATAAAATAACAATCAAAGAAAATGAAGAGTTTATTTTTTTCATCCTGAAACAATTGTTTTTTAATTCGCTATTTAACAATCAAGTGTGTTGTTAGGCAGCTGCATAGTAAAATATAACACAATTTTGTTAATCTGCCTGAAGTTGTAGTGAAAGTTAAGAAAAATTTCTGAGTTAGTAATAAATAATAGAAGTATTTTAGCTGTCCACAATTACAGCAGATTCAACACTCCTTCCCATCTATGTAAAAAAAAATTAAAATTTTTATAAATTTCATGAGGAATTAGCAAGCAAAAAAATAAATAAGTAAATAAATAAAACTATTATGTTTTTTTAGTTAGTTTGTTTTTAGTTAAGTTTGTATCAATATATAT